ATATACTATCACAAACAGGTATTACACATTAAATCACTACTACAGACAGGTATAACATATGTATTTACTATCACAGACAGGTATTACACATGTATTTACTATCACAGACAGCTGATATAACAATTACTTAATACAGAGATGTTCCTATATATATTGCTATTGTTGTTTTTGTGGGGAGGGGGTTGAATGGAAAATAGCTTTATTTATTTATTTTCTCATTATATAAATATCTGTTTTACCACATGATATCTTATATTTGAATGGCAATAAAGTGCATGCTGTTACCATGTATCTGGCTTGTGTGAAATGCCTTTTTAGGTCACAAAATACAATTGTATCTCTACAAAATATATCTAGTGATCAATATCTCTTAGACTTTAAAGAACATGCACCTGATGATGAAATATCACTTATCTGCATATATGTATTAACTAATGAAATATTAATTCTTGTCTGTGATAGTACAAGTAAATACAAGTTTATAACCAGTTTGAAACAATGAATCAATGTTCCTTTACATGACAATAATTATTGATAGAACATAGAATTACAAATATATAAGTATGTTCCTTAATGCAGGGTTGCCAACCTCTTAGGAGTCCAGTGTGGGAGATTTCCCTCCACTGGGTTTTTCAATGTGTGAGACTTTTGACGGCGTCGCGGCGTAACGTCGTTTTGGGTGTTAATTACAAATGTATCAAACAAATCCTGGCTTTCTCTGACTACTATAACATCTGCATTGTTGATATTTTCACTTCAAGATCTTTGTAGGAAAATAAAACAAAACATTTTTTGCAGATATATAAAAGATTTTTATTTATTACACAAAAAAAACTGACATCAGAAATGCAACACATCATATAATCAAAGGCCTTTCTTGTAACGATTCCACCCTTGCCTAGAACAGGTAGCAGTCTTTTTTCTGTATTTCCATGACCTGTTTAAAAAACAGTTCATATCAAAAGTAAGAACTTTACCATAGTAACATGAAAAAGTTCATAACATGAAAATATGATAATTTGACAGTG